TTTTTTAAAAGAATAAACAAAATTGACAAACCCTTAGGTAGATTAAGATAGAGAAGATCCCAATAAATGAAATCAGAAATGAAAAAGATGACATTACAACTGATACCATAGAAATACAAAATATTATTAGAAAGTATTAAGAAAAACTATTTGTTAACACCCTGGAAAACCTGCAAGAAATCAATAAAGATCTGGATACATTCACTCTACCAAGATTGCACAGGAAAAAATATCCTGAACAGAGCAATAAGTATCAGTGATATTGAATCAGTAATAAGAGCTCTTAACAAAATCCCAGGTCTGAATGGCTTCACTGCTTAAATTTACAATTCTTTTCAAGAAGAATAACAATTCTTCTCAAATTATTCCAAAAGGTTCAGATGAAGAAAATCCCCTCAAAATCACTAGGCTACCATTATCCAGATACCAAAAGCTAACAAGGAGCAATAAGTATCAGTGATATTGAATCAGTAATAAGAGCTCTTAACAAAATCCCAGGTCTGAATGGCTTCACTGCTTAAATTTACAATTCTTTTCAAGAAGAATAACAATTCTTCTCAAATTATTCCAAAAGGTTCAGATGAAGAAAATCCCCTCAAAATCACTAGGCTACCATTATCCAGATACCAAAAGCTAACAAGGTAAAAAAGACAATTCTTCTCAAATTATTCCAAAAGGTTCAAATGAAGAAAATCCCCTCAAAATCACTAGGTTACCATTATCCAGATACCAAAAGCTAACAACGTAAAAAAGAAAACTGCAGATCCATATTCCTGATAAACATAGATGCAAAAATCTTCATCAAAATACTAGCGAACCAAATTCAACAGCATATCTAAAAGATTATACAGTACAATCAAGTAGAAGTTGTCCCTGGAATGCAAAGATAGTTTGAAACACACAAATCAATAAAAATGATAAACCACATCAACAGAAGCAAAGGTAAAAGCCATACAGTCCTAATAATTGGTACATAAAAAAGCATTTGATAAATAGCAACATTTTATGATTAAGACTCCCAACAAACTGGATATAGAAGACACATATCTCAACATCATAAAGGCCATCTGTGATAAACCCTCAGCGAGTATCACATTAAATGAGAAAAGTTGTGAGCTTTTCCTCAAAGACCTAGAACGAGACAAGGATGCCCATTTTGTCCACTCCTATTCAACATAGTATTGGAAGACTTAGATAAAGCAACTAGGTAAGAGAAAAAATAAATGACATTCAAACTAGAAATGAGGAAACTTGCAGAGAAAGTGATTTTAAAATTAAGAAACCTAAAGACTATACCAGAACAAACAAATATAAAGACCAACCAAACAAAACCCCAAATCTCTTAGGATAAATGAATTTGATAAAGTGACAAAACCAACACACAAAATTTAGCATCATTTGTATACAATAACAGCAGCAATCTAACTCAAAACAAATCGAAGTGGGACAGCCAGATGGTACAGAGATTATGGTGGCTGGATCCTACATGGCCAACTGTACAGTTCAAATCCTGGAACTAGCAGCTTGAAAATCACGCCTGGCACATGTGCCCAAAATCCCAAGAGAAGAATGGAGGAGAAGGGATTGCAGTGTGGCCGTCTCCCCGAGGGGTGATATCTCACTCCCCCACTTTCCAACAAGTTAACATGCCTTATGGCAAAAAAAGAGTGAAAAAAAAGAAAAAGAAATAAAGCAATCTCAGTGTGGGAGGAAGTTGGGAAATGGAAGAGGGTGAGAAATAGAGAATCAAGGGGAAGAGAAAAAAAACAGCAAAAATATATAGAAACAAGAAATAGAAAAATATTTATTGACAATAACATAAATGGTGATATCCTTGATTAAGCCAATATACAGTGTATTCTGGATGGGAAATTGCATTTTATATGCTGTGGTGATGTATAGTGAATGAATGTAAAATAAATAAATTTTAAAAATAAAAAAAGAAAGCAATACCACTTACAGTAGCTACTCACCCCCAAAAAATCTGGAAATAAATTGAATCAAAGAAATGAGAGATTTGTATTATGAAAACTATAAAACACTAATGAAAGAAACTGAAGACACAAGAAAGAGACAAAAACATTCTGTGTTCATGGATCAGAATAATTAATGTTAAATGATACTATACAAAATCATCTGCAGAGCCAATGCAATCCTATCAAAAGACCAAAGGCATTCTTCACAGAAATAGAAAAAGCAATCATAAAATTTGTATGGAATTATAAAAGACCCTAGATAGCTAAAGGAAGTCATGTAGTATGATGTTTGAAGCATCACACTAAAATGACTAAAAAATACACTGCAAATTCATAATAACCCAAAATGCATCATGGTTCTGGCACAAAAATAGACATATAGACAGTGGAAAGAATAGAGAACCCGTGAAAACATCGGTGAAGATATAATCAAATAAGTTTTTTGCCCTAGGATGTATGTGCTTGCCAGAAAGAGACAGAGACAGAGGGACAGAAAGTATGAGAATCTCCTCCTCCCCCCATCCCAGTTGGGGAATGGCCATACCACAATTGCTTCTCCTCCATTTTCCTCTTGAAATTTTGAACACTCACACACACATACCTGGTGTATTTTTCAAGTCACAAGTTTCAGAATTCTAATTGTGCAATCAGCCATGTGGGATCCAGTGACTTAACCACCATGCCATTTGCTGGCCCAAGGTAAATAATTTTTGACAAAGGCCCTAACACATTTATTGGGGAAAGGACAGTCTCTTTAATAAATGATGCTGGGGAAACTGAGTAGCTTTATACAGAATGAAACTAGGTCCTGTCTTTCATCATGTGTAAAAACCAACTCAGAATGGGATAAAGAAAAATATGACTCAAATATTCAAACTATAAGAAGAAAACATAGGGGAAAAAACTCAGAAAATTGATCTAGACAAAGATTTTTAAAATAAGATTTCAAAATCATGTACATCATTAGCAAAACAGACAAATGGGATTACACCAAACTAAAAATTTCTGCACAGCAAAGGAAACAATCAACAGACTAAAGAGACAACCTTAGAATAGGAGAAAACATTCAAAAATTATATATCTAACAAGGGATTGATAACCAGATATATGGTGAACTCAAAGAACTTGCCAGCGAAAAAGCAAACAATCTGATTAAAAAAAGGACAAACTACCTGAAGAATCCGTTTTTGAGTAGACATTTAAATGGCCAACAGCACATGAAAAAATGTTCAACATCACTAATTTCCAGGAAAATGCAAATCAAAGCCACAATGTGGTATCTGGTATCACCTTAACCCCAATTAGAATGACTATAATAAAACCAGCAGATGGCGTAGTGGTTATGTTACTGGACTCTCATGTGGTTGGCTATGGTTTTTGAGTCCTGGACCTGGTGGTTTAAACTCATGCTGGACGTGTGTGTGTGTGTGTGTGTGTGTGTGTGTGTGTGTGTGGCTAAAATCCTGGGAGGAGAATGGAGAAGAGATTGCCGTGTGACTATCCTCCCAGGGGGTGATTTCTCACTTTTTGTCTCTAGTGACCACACACACCCTGTAGCAAAAATCTCTCTCTCAAAAAAAAAAAAAAAAAATAGAAACAATAACAAGTGTTGGTGTATTTGTGAAGAAACTGAATTCTCATACACTATTAGTGGGAATGTAAATTAGTACAGTCATCATGGTTCTTCAATAAATGAGAAATAGAACTACCATGCGCTCCAGTAATCCCACTACTGGGTATATATCTAAGGGTAAGGAAATCAGAATGGCAAAGAGATACACGCACTCCCACATTTATTCCAGCACTATTCACGATAGCTATAATATGAATGAACCTGAGTGCCAAACAACCGATTAATGGATAATGAAAATATACACGTAATGGAATATTATTCAGCCATAAAAAGGATGAAATATAGTCCCAATGTGAGCAAATGTGGAAGAGATAATGCTAAGTAAAACAAGCCAGGCACTGAAAGATATATACACTTATTAGTGGGAGCTAGAAGATTCAGTTGTATAGAAATGGAGAGTGTAACAATGGACAGCAGAAGCTTGAAAAGGGGAGGAGAAAGTTGGGATGTGGAGAATTTGGTTAACAGATACAAGAATGCAGGTAGATCAGTGAGATGAGTTCTACAGTACTACAGTACACCATATTGATAGTTGGAGACAATTTGTTATATATTTCAAAATAGAAGTGAATTTTGAATGCTCAGAATACAAAGTGATGATAAAGGTTGGAAATGGTGGATATGTTTATTGCCCTGACTTGATCATTACACAATGGATATGTATTTTGTAAAACACAGTACCCCATACATTTGTACAACTATTATATGTGAATTATAAATTATAATAGGAGTGATTTTTTCCTTTTTTTTTGCCTTAGGGCTCGTGTGCTCTCCAGAGAGACACAGACAGACACAGTGAGAGGGAAGTGAGAAATCATCCCCCAACGAGGATGGCCATGCCACAATCCCTTCTTCTCCTCTATTCTCCTCCCAGGATATTGGGCACACACACACATATGCTTGGTGTGATTCTGAAGGCATTGTGTCTGGGACTTGAACCACAGTTGGCCATGTGGGAATCCAACAATGTAACTGCTATGGTTTCTGCTGGTCCCAAAAATAATTTAAAAAAAAGTCCCCAAGCAAAGGATTGCTATGTCTTGGACTGTAATTTATTTTAACTATTAACTATTAAAACTCAAGTTGTCTCTGGTCCACAGACTTTTCCTTCTCTAAAATTTGGTATTAGGTATCAATAGCCTCCTTTTTTTTTTTTTTTAATGTTGCTATGCTATTAACTTTTAAGACTACCTTGTCAGCTCTTCTACCCTGACCGATAACTTACATTTTTTCAAAACATAACTCCAGAGGTATCTAATGCTATGTACAGAAAGCCAAAGAGTGAAATGTAAACTAGGTCCTCCCTTAAGACAGAGAAGATGATAATTCATTTTGTTGTGACTATGGCTTTTGTATTTCAGACTTTGCCTAGACCAGCACTTGTGGCTTACCTTGTGTTTGGTTTCAGATTTTCTACTGTAGAGAAGGTTTGATTTGTAACTTGAATGGACTTGTTCTTCCCACTGAATGACCCATTTTCTCTGGATATAACTTCATATTCTGAAAATGAAAAAAACCAACAGGTACTTGTTTTTATGTCCTGGTTGATTTAATTGTTCTTGAAGCTAACAATGTAAGCCATTCACATAAGAGTGAGCAATTCATACTGCAATTCAAGAGGCATATTAATCTTATAAATTAGCATTTTCCAGATGACGCCAGTCACCAGAGGATGAAGGTCCCAAAGACATTTTGGGAGTTGCTCACTGACTATTTTGGCTTTCCCTTTACCAAAGCAGTAAATGGTGAACATGGATGATCCTCTTGGGATTGCTTTGGGATATAACTTATGATTTTGTTAGGTAAGTCAGATGGTTTGCTGCTGGTGGAAAGCCCAGTCTGGCGAAAGTATGTATGAGGAGTGGAGCTTGAGTAGAAGTCATGTTTCACGCTTCATAGGCCTTTTCGACATAGCTGGGGAAAAGGGCCCTGAGTACATAACACTACTGCAAAGAATTTGAGTTTAAAACCACACCAGCAAACAACAGTTGACCAAACAATACACTATACTAATCAACTATACTTTTGAACTAGAATCAAGAGGTTTTTGTACTCACTGCTCACATGAGTTATGCTCCCTCGATAATGTGCTTTGTATTAAAATAGATATCCCAGAAGTCAGCATAAATTTCTCTTAAAAGCATGCTTCTATGAACTTGCAAGTTTTCTCAAAAGAGAAAGACTTTCAGCCGCGCGCACGGCGGAAGCCAGCAGCCGCGCGC